AGAAGTTGCGTTCCCGATGCTTCAAGGTTTTTAGGTTTTACAGGATTTGCAGGAAAAGCTGTTTTCCTCATTAATAAATTTTATGGAAGTTTAAGAAGTACGGTACCGTTTAGTTATTTGTACAAGGATGTTGAGTATTTGTGTCCAAACGCGTGACCCGAGTTTTAAAACTTTAACATACAAGTGTAGTGAAAGAATTAATCTTTAATTTAACATAAAGATTTCAAGTTTCCGAGCACTAGTTAATTAATAAATTACGCAGTATTTTGTAAACTTTGATGTTGGTTCTGCGCAAAAACACTGTGGATGGCGTAGCCGGAATTATATGCACAAGAAATATTGTATATCTTTCACAAAAGAAGCGGAGCTTCCTCCACTGCTCTTTACGGAAATTCCTTTGCCTATGTCCTCACTCTCCTGCATCAGCTCGACCAACCGCGCAAGTTGCCTTTTGTTGCTTACAATTTTTGATCTGTAATTCAGACCCATATGTACATACATATGTATATTTCACAATTTTTTACAACTTCCAATTCAATTGACTTACTTTTTATCCATTATAGTACCACTTTCTTATGTAAATTTTATAAACGCAAACTCCAACGACTAAAAAACAGCAATAGAAGGATGAGCGATTAAAAAGTATTCACAGTCGCTAATTGAGCGACTAAGCGACACTCACAATACCATCGATAATCGATAATCGCTTAATAGCCGTTTATCTACTGCCAGTCGACACTCGCAATAGGGGTGTAAACCCGCTTTTTAAGAGGAAGTAAAATGGCGTTTCCCGCCAATGCGCGCGGATTTCCTGCTTTTTTTTTTGTTGTGCTGTTAGAGATGTGCAATTACTTCATATAAATAAAACGAGCTTTTGTTGTTTTATCATAGAAACGGCCATGTTGAAATTAAAATACAAGTGAGTGCGCGTCGGGTTACAAATGAGAAATTAGAAATTAAAGTAAAAATTAGAAGTGAGGTGATATTTAATAGAAAAAAACAGTTAATTTAGTTTTGTATGTAAAGTACTTAAGCCAGAGTCTTTCAGAAGAGTGTATTTGAGAAGTGTAAAACGTAGTATACCGCTTAAAAAATCCCCAAATAAGTGTTAAAGTTAATTTAAGTGTGTAAAGTGAAATCCTAAGCATTTTTCCGAATAAATTGCATAAATTGCATAGAATGCATTGCTTGTTGTGTGTTTTAGGGAATTCTGGTGAAGTGAATATACAAGGCCAATTATAAAATCTAGGTCGGTTACGTCTGGCCAGCTGTCGTGAGAGCAGTGCTATGGTATTGCATGTGGTAAGCTACATTAATCATTTTATTTCATTTATTTAATTTAACTGTATGCTTAAACTAAACAAAAATTCGGCTGTACGATTTAAGACAAGTTACAAATCCACCTAAGTACCTTAAATACACGAACAAACAACAGCTTGTCTTACAAATATACTTAAAATGGTTAGAAAAACAGCAAGGCGATCGTATTATAAAGGCAACGTATGTATATCTATATATTGAAAGACATAAGTGCATATAAAATATATTTTTATATGCATTTTTCTAAAGTATCGCATTTCTTCCTGTATATATACCTAACAGTTTGTGCCTTTCCAATATTACTCCTTGAACTTCTGAATAACAATTTCATCATAGTACGGCCGACAATTAAGTCGTACATTTAGGCGTGAGCACAGCAAAAATATACCAGATAATTTGCGATGTATGGAATAGATTTCCTCTGGCGGTGGACAAAGGCGATGTGCGACCATTGTGGGTACTAAATGAGCAATGCGTTCGGTAGTGTTCTAATAAAAATTAATAAAACTTCATTATATTCCTAGTCACTTCAAATTTGTAAATCAATTAAACCAACCTGCCGGCCGAAATCAAAATCACCATCAAAGCGAAATATTTCGCCAAGTATCATAACAGCATCCACATGCGCCTCTTCCATTTGCTTGGTTTCATAACCTGTGAGAAAACCCATTTCGCGTGACATGCGCAAGACACCTTCACGATTATTCTCTGCAGCGTGCATTATTACCTAAAGAGTGGCATATTTAATTAAAATATTTAATTTAATCAAATAGTCAACGATACTCCACTATTAGCTAGTTTCACACACCTGCCGATAATTGCGTATGAATTGCTTTTGATAGAAACGCGTTGAACCAAAATCAATTAACATTAGTCTCTTCGTATCAACATCATAAAGGAAATTCGACCAATTCGGATCGGTTTGCATGCATTCCAACTCGAACAGCTCACGCAAGCACAACTTGAGTATAGACGAAGCAATGTGATGGCGATGCTCATAGCTGCAAGGAAATGAAAAATTGTATGTAAATGCGTAAACGTGGCATTTCCAACGGATTATCTCTGAATTTACAATCTACCTTAAATCGAAGCACTTGTCCAATGGTACACCTGGCACTAATTCTGTAGTCAGTACGCTGCTAGTAGTCAATTCTTTAATGACCTTCGGTACATAGTACTCGTGATAGGGTGCAATCATCTGCTTAAATTTATCTGTATATTCAGCTTCACGTGTATAATCTACTTCCCAATTTAGTTCACGTTTGGCCACCTACAAATTGAAGTATGTTTTTCTTATATTAATGAAGATATAAAGCTTTAAATAAAATTAAAATGCCCCCTTACCTTGACCACATTGTCAATGAAGAAGCCGTGTGGAAAGACATCCCATACTTTGAGCATGCCTACTAAATTATCAATATCACTTTCGATGCTTTGCGCCACGCCAGGATATTGAATTTTTATAGCCACTTGCATGCCATCTTTCAATGTAGCGCGATGTACCTTGAAAGAAATAAAGAAAAGATAATATTGCACATGTAAAAGAACAAAAAACACACTACTCATACTCTACCTGCCCAATGGAAGCCGCCGCAAATGGTTTCTCATCGAAACTTTCCAAAAGATTACGCCAATCGGCGCCCAATTGTGTGATCATTACGCGCTCCACTTGCCAATCGGGCATATAGTCGGCCGCATGGCGTACACGTTCAAAAGCTTTAGCCAGCTGTGGTGACACCACCTTCGAATCCTGTATACTTAGTATTTGGCCGATTTTCAGCGCTGCACCGCGCACCTTGCAAAGTGTGTCGACAATTCGTTCCGCATTAGCTGGACTTAGTAGGGCCTCCTTCAAGTTTTTCGAGCCGCCTAAACCAAGTGCGCCCTTAGTTAATTCGTTTATAGTGCCGACACCTAGACCAGCAAAAAGACCGCCAAACGAAACCATACGTCCCAAACGACTGGACGGAACACGTCGTTGTTTGGCCACTTTGCTCAAGGTGGGCAATTCGATGGAAGTTGTGCTTCCAGAGTCCGGCGCAGATGTGTCTCCGGCAATTGTTTTTAATATATTTTCTACATACACTGTGTCTGCTTTCAATGCATCAGATGAAATTGGATTCGCGGCAGCCGTTGTGGTAGATGTTGCGGTCGCTGTGGTATTTGCGCTTGTTGTTGCTGCCGTTGGCGTTTTACCAGCTGCTAGTGTAACTGCTTCCGTTGGTTGCACAGTCACATCTTTCACTTGCTTATGCTCTGTGGATGGCGTACGCAAGCTAATATCACGATTTTTATTACGTTTCGAAAGTATTTCCTCCAATTCCTGTAGTGTAATGGACGATATGTCAAGCTGTGTTGCATCCAAAGGACTACCGGTCTTGCCAGCGTTGGCAGCACCAGCATTGCTGCTACTAAAATTGACTGTTCCACTGGGTTTCACAGCACCACCCTCTCCAGCAGTCTTGCCAATACCCGCATCACCAATTACATCACTCATTGCTCGCTGCAACGTCTGCTGAGTCATACGCAATTCGTTAGGCACTTTGGAAAGGCTCAATTGTCGCAATCCCTCTATTACAACGCACGTGCGCTCACTAGTTTCCTGTAGCAATTGTTGCAACTTTTTCAGCTCCTCCGTTGGTTGTGTGCCAACTTGCTGCAAATAATTTGCGCTCTGTTGAAAATTTCCCTGCAATAGCTCGCGTATACTCGACTGACTCCAACGCTGTTTACACTGTGCGCTCTGCTCGCGACACAACGCCTCCGCTACCAGTTGTATGCCTCGCAATACAGCCAGAGCATCTTGTGCTGAACGTGCCATGCCTACCGCCGCCTCCCTTTGTCTAGCGTTTCACAACTTGTTTCGTCTCAATGATGATTCACGTACGCAGATCTAATTTTGTTTTCGATTTGTGTGTACGCCAAACATTTGTTGTGTGCTTATTCATGGAATTTTCAACTTTTCACCTAATCCTCTACGATGGTGCGCACAATTTGCTTTTGATCGGTTGCGAAACAAACATGAATTTCATCAAAACATGCACAGCTGGCAAAGTGGGGTTAGGTGGAAGCTCTCCCTGTCGGAAAAAACTGGCTTCTCTTAGAAATTAATCAATTGACAAAGTAGTTGGAAACAAAGTACATAGTTTTGGTACATCGCCATAATAATATTAGTAAATTTAGTTGCTTACAAGAAGAAAGGAATAATGTGTGTGGTAAAAACGTACTTATTAAATAGCTTTCAACGTAATTGAATTTCCGACAGGTTTTTAGACAGGTTGACGCCATCAGCTGATTGCGGAAGAGCGATGGGCTACGCTTGGCACAGTGTAGGTAAAAATTAATGGAACACAAAATTCTCGATAAACTTCCTTTTGAGCTACGGTCATCATTAATTAGTTGCTTAAATATTTTGTGATTTCGGCAATTCAGTGCTTGAGTATTAAAAATTTTAATTTAGCAATAGGTGAATTTTTATAAAAAGAAATGAAGTAGTCCAAAAATTCAAAGATTGCATTATTATGTAATAGTTTCAGAAACTAATTTTTATTTTATTTGTATTTTTAGCACCTGATGTTATTAAATCAATATCTATTTACAAAGCAATTATTCGATAAGTATTTTAAGTAATAATTTACATTATAAGTACGTATACTGCAAAGTTTTAGACATTTTTAAGTTGCTTTTGCATACGTGCTTCGGCGAGCCTCTCAAAGTGGAAGGCACACAATTATGAAATTAACACTATTATATGTACATATATACATATCTATGCATGTATAGTTTACAATTTTTTTACAGCTGCAATAGTACATCGCAAAAGTGCTTAAAGCAATTCTCCTTTTGGTATATAGAAAATTATATGCTATTTCCTTAGTTTTTGTACAAAAATTCCTGTTGCTTCGGTGTGCTCACATGCTGAAGATTCTGACAAATGTATGTTTTTTGTTTTGCTTTATCACTATAAGTACAACGACTTTTTAATACATCAATTTCGCTATTATCAATATTTTTTTTTAGTTTTCTTCGATTCTTTATTTCGTTCGTTTCCTGCTCTTACGCCGTTTCCCCTTCAATGCTCTCTTCCTCCTCTTCATTTACACAATCCACTACATAATCTTTTCGCACTCGGCCAGCGCGTTCATATTTCGAATCTTCCAATTCAGCCGCATGCTTATAGGTAACAGCCTTCGTGATAGGATCGAATAAGCGTAAATGTGGATTTGGTTGTGTATTATACTTATGACCCAGCGACNTTCCAATTCAGCCGCATGCTTATAGGTAACAGCCTTCGTGATAGGATCGAGTAAGCGTAAATGTGGATTTGGTTGTGTATTATACTTTTGACCCAGCGATGTATAGCCATTCTCATACAATCGGCAGTACGGTACTTGTCGCACGAAAGTATAATACCAAATATCTCTGTAACTCCAATCGAGTAGCGGGTTAATGCGCATCAAACTGGGCCAATCCAAGTCGGTCACCTGCAAAATGAGTAGAATGTATTATATGTATATGAAAACTAGTTGATTATGGAATTTTATATTTTCGCTAACCTGCATAGTATTGAGATTTTCACAAAATGGATCTGTGCGTCTGGTGCCCATTAAAACGGCACGTATTTCGGGCATCTCCTGTAGTATCTGTGTCAGTGCCTCTTTTATACAACCCTTACGCCTTATAAGATTTATATTATACCGTCGTTCACAATCGAGCACCACCGCTTCAACTTCTTCGAATCCATCCTCTGCCTCGATATACAATACAGGCAGTCGTATATGACTGATACATTTGTTGCGCTTAAAGTAGGAATGAACTAAGTCTAGTAAAACTGTGCAGTCCTTGCCACCATTGAAAGATACCATCAACTCTTCGGCGCGATACAGGTGCAAAACTTGCGCGAACAACTGAAGGGTTAAACATTATAGATTTTTATTATATTTATGTTCATAAGTGTGTAGTTAAAATGAAAGCGAAATGATGCGAAATGAAGAACTGCCTCCGCAACACAAGCGTACCAAAACCGACCCATCTAAGCATCCATTGAATGGAACCAATCGCATGACTTTTGCTTTATATGTATGTATTTATTTTTAATAAGATACTCACCGCAAAAACGTCCTTTTCCAATTTCTCTACACGCTTAATAGCACAGTGATCTGGTTTGACATTTTCAGTTTCAGTGGCGGTCGCTAAAAAGGAACTAATAGCAGCATCCCGTTCCGAACGTTTAATTTGTTTGGACACACAGTGTAGCATATTACCGATATTTGTCATTTTAATGTGCTTTTTAGGAATTAAGATTTCCAACTATTTACAATTTTTATCTGAGAATGAAAATGAATGTGTTAGGGTATATTAAGTAAATATTTTACCATGAAATTTATTGACAATATTTAAAATGGTAAACAGGAAATGTAAAAACCATGCAACTGCCGCGTAAATTGTATCTAAATACCTGCCAGAACCCTAATTTTATACTTGTAAAAAAATTTTGTCAACTTATCGGCTGGAATTGTCGACAAGCACTTAAGTGAAAACTTAGCATGTGCGACGGTTAGCCACGTAAATGTAAACATACCGCACAATGTGCTTAATCGCAGTTTTAACAAAACAAGACCATTATTGCCAAGTGCTTTTAAATGCTCGTATTTTTTAGTACAAATAAAAATTATTTAACCAGCTTGAATTTTGTTAAATCTGCAGAAAAAAGTTATTGTATAATAAACCATAAATCATGTATTTAGGTGCATACATACAAAGGAATAACCATATATGGTAGACTAGCTGATACGGTTAATTCTCCAGATTGCAAGTTAATGTATGTTTGTATGTATGAATTAAAATTAAAGTGTCATCCTCAGAAATTACACGTACGTTTTTATCTTATCACTTAAGGTAATCAACGATGATTTGCAAATGGTATGAAATTGTTGTAACAGCACAAAACCGGTGGCAATAAGAGGTATGATGCTGGTTGAGCATAAATTATTTGCAGTATTGAAGGACAAATATCCTCACATATGCTACTGCCGTTACGTCACTATGCACAATGTATCTCAATCTGCAAGTTACAAGCAAAATTCATTGAACAATCCTGCAACCGCATAGTACAAATGTGCTTTCGCTAAAATTCATTCAAGGAAAAGGATTACTAAACATTTATAGTGTCAGCATAAAATCAACTACACAATTTAGAGGAATAATCTGGATTAAAATCAAAAAAAGCTTTCACAGCACTACCAAGGAAAAGTTGAAGCACCAGCTCGCACTTACCACAACTGAGTTTCGTTGATGTGCAATGTATCTGCCGTTTCAGATTATACTTTTTCTGCCAACAAGCTCTTCTTGAATCGAGTATACGCCTCCGTATACAAAATGTTTTAACTTTCTATTACATACATTTTTTTTTGCTTGCATCTGCTCTTTCCACAAACGATTATTTAACAGCAATCTGAAGTGTTGTTTGTCCCTGTACGCTGCATTTAGTTGTATGCAATGTGCAATGAATTTCGTTAGAAACAAGGAGCAAGCGCTGAATACAGCAACAATTTGGTCAACAAATTTAGAAAGACAAGTAAATTAACTATTGTTCAAAACGTTTTAATTTTTCTCAGTTTTGACAAGTTGTTGACACAAATAACTTGGCCAATACAGCTGATAACAAGCACGATAACAGCTGTTTGGCATTAGAGATGTCGATATGCATTTGTTTGTACATGAGTACTTGGTATAACAAGTTCCTTAATCGGTTACTTTATTTATCGATAATGGGAAAAAGAAAAATAAAAATAATTTAAATAAAAACAAAGTAAACGAAAAAAGTTAAGTAAAAAATAGCGCTTAAACAGCTAGAAAAAAATAAAAGTTGGGCGGGGTCCGCCTTTTTTTTCGTGAAATCTTTAATACTCTGAAAAACCTATATCCTTATAAATACCTCTTATCTGATATGTATATATATTTATATATAAAACACGTATATGTTTCGAAAAAAGCAAAATACGATATTTCCATTTTTTATAAAAACTTATATTTTTTCAAAAAAGGCGTGTTTTCTATATGAAACAATGCGACGCTTTTTTAATGTAAAACCATATTTGAATATATGCATACATAGCGGAAATTTTGAATAAAAAATCGCGAATTTTTTTTTTTTTAATTTGGTTGTTGTTTTCGCAGCACGGAGTTTCCGAATTGTTTGATTGTTTATTCATCTTCCCCATATGACGACTCCAACCCTAGACCCGGGAAGCGGGCGGTTCGGATGTCAGATGGTGGAGATACGTTGGGCATGCGAAAAGGTGAGCAGTGTTGGGCGGACCGACTCCGCATGCTGGGCAGGTGTCGGCGATCTCCGCGTCTAATCTGGTTCTGCATGAGTTTAGGCGAATGCACCAGCCAGATCCGAGTTGCGCCAGTGTGGTTCGCTCATATCGATGGTAGGCGGCCGGCTTTGTTTTCGTGGCATGCTTGTGTTCCAGTGATAACTGCTTCGCGATGAAAGTTGTTGATGCCCTCAAGGTATGCCTCGCGGCTTATAGGGAATTTACATGATTCAACTTTCACAGGCAATTAGTTGAACCAAAAGTTGAACGAAAGTAGGGAGCCGACCAACTTCATTGTAAGCGATTAGTTGAAAGGCTGTTTACACCAGGCGATTGTTGCTTTCAACTAAAAGTCGCCTGAAAAATCGCCTCATGTAAATTCCCTATTAGCGGTGATTGAAGTTGTTGGTCGCAACCTGCTTCTAGATGAATAAGGTGTCTACTTACGTGTCTTGGGGTGCAGCTCTCTGTGTCAGACTGTCAGTTGTTCTGTGGCAGCCTAGCAGGAACTATTTTGATAGTAGACTAAGGAGACTCCCTGAGGTGGAGGGAGAAGTTGCGCTAGGTATGGGTTACACAGGATTGGTGTTAGTAACCCACTTTGTGTTACACCTTGCTTAATCCTACGCGGCTTTGATGTTTTGTATGTCGGAATACAACAGATGACTGCCTCCGCAGAGGTAACTAACGATCCAACGTTTGGTGTGCGACGGGAAAGAGGACGAAATAATTTCATCTTTGAGTGTTGCATGATTGACGGTGTCAAAGGCCTTTGATAGATCACGTGCCACTAAGATGGTGCTGGCGTAGGAACGCTTTGGTTCAAACCGTCAGTTATTTGCGTTGTGATGTGTGTTTTGGGGGGAAGATGCAAGTGTTGAGTCAGTTTCGGGAGCAGTAGCGCTTGAAGGGTTTTAGCCACCGGTGAGCGGAGTGTGATCGGTCTGTAGGATTCACCCAAGTCCGAGCGCCTCCCCGGGTTTTGCAGGGTGATTACTCTCCCGTTTTTCTATACCTCTGGGATGGTGTGTGTGTGGCTAGTGAGGCGTTGAAAAGTTTGGTGAGGTATTCGACTCCCCTGGCATCCAATTGCTTTAGCATCAGCATGGATATGTCATCTGGGCCGACTGTTTTCGATGCCTTGGCCTTGTGAATCGCGACTTGTACTTCGTTGGGTGGATGTGGTGTGCTTTGCGGAGTACGCTGCGTTGGGTTATGCTCCTCACAGGGTGCGTAAAAAATCGCCGGCAGAATTCTCGCGCGCACTTTCTGGAGTCGCTGTGTTTTTCGTCGTGCGGGTTACTATAGAGCAATATTTTAATAATGTGTGAATTATTTGAATAGATAATCGAAAATCGTTTCAATATTTTTTTTTTTTATATAAGCTTCTAAATATTTCGAAAATTCCACTCTTACCCCTCCCTTCTCCCCCCTCCATTAATATGCATCATTAAAATCGGTAAAAATTCGCACTTTTTTAGCACAACTGAGCCTATTCTTTACTTCTTCCTTAAATATACAATAAAATAAATTAAAACAAACGTATTAAAATAATAGGGAATGAAAATTTAAGTGGCGTAAAATAAAACAAACAAAAAAATATTTATTTAAGAAAGTAAAATAAGAATAAAAAAATAAATAAAATATATCTAAATAACTGAATAAAAACGAATAGAACTAAACTACTTGCTTTTATTCAAATTATTTCAATTACAATCAAATAATTTAAAGTAAATTAGCCTACATTAAATTAAATTTAAATCATAATTGATGGACATAAATTAAAAAAAGTTAAGTTTTAAAACAAAACTTGTATCTGGGCTACACATTCTCGTTAAAAACTCACATTTGCATTTTGATGGGAAAAGCTTTTGCTTGCAGTTATCACGTTCGCTGAGGTGAGGCAATAGTGTCATCACATACATACATATGTACTTAAACAAAAGGCATGGGTGTCTATTCAATGTGCACATCTTTAAATTTTGTGTTTCAGTCACAACGAAGATGTTTGAGATCATTTAAATTCAAAAACCGCGTGCCTAGCATTGCGATTAGTTTGCTTATGTGTCCTAAGTATGTATGTACATATGTATGTATGTGCATTAGATACGTGACTTTTTCTCACAAAACTACTACTAATGGGGCTATGCGAATAAATATTGATATGTATGTATATACAAACATACATATGTATTTATGTACAAAAAATCATTATCGAAATTTCCAAGCTGTTCATATTTTTTTTATAATCTATTGCAAAAAGTACTTTTTGGTTTTAGTATGCAATGAACATTCAAGTGGAGGATTCTCAAAAAAAATCGGTATGTACATTTATCTAGGGCTCTTAGCCACCTCAAATATCTTATCACACCGGTAATGTGATAAGAACTTATCAACTGTCAGATCTAATGAAAAATATGTATGTACATACTTAGCCATTGCGACACATATATACATATATACATTCGTACAATCAGGTGTATGAGCTATTTTTAGCTGCTAACAAAATGTACTACATGTTTTGTTTTTTTTTTTTTTTGTGTTTGAGTTAACGGTAAATAGTAGTCATTTTGCTGGCCCATATCTTAGAACTAAGTTGGCCCGCTTACCAAGCACCACGGCGTTTTTGTATATTAGAAAATGCTTGTATGGTATTCGAGTCACCTTAAGTTCAACGCCTGATGTCGTCTTTATCTAAACGAGTTTCAAGGATACGCTTTTGATTGGTATAACAATTTTTTTTGTTTAAAAAAAAAAAATTCGAAATTTCTGATACCCTTGGCTGCTTTTTATTTCTGCAAGTGGCTTACCAGTCGTTAAAAACTGTTTTCCTCATTTAACAATTCAGATATAATTTTAGTAAAAATAAAATAAATATAAATGGAATATTGATCAGTTAAAAAATTACTTAAGTCATTAATGAAGCTCGTAAATAAACATGTTTTTCTTAAAATTTGCAGCTTAATGTGAATTTAACGATGACATGACATTTTTTCAATTACTTATGTTTGTATGATTTTTTCCCGCCAACAAAAACTCGTTGCTTAAAATAGCACAATGCTATGTACTTATTGTGTCCGAACAGGAACTTAACTATGGGAATATCATGAGCATGTTGACATTGGACTTGGCATGAAATAGAAATAAAATACAATACCAAGTTAGGACATTAGAAAAATATGTATTTAAAAAAAGATATATTTAAAAAAATTAAATTGGAAATTATTTAATGTTGGTTTTTATTTATTACTAACTAGAATTTAATTGCATGTTTTAAATGTAATAAATTTATACAATATTTTTTAAACTGGAGATAAGTATTTGATAAATAAATTTTTTTTAATAGTTGGCAACCTTGTTCCAAAAATTCTCCATCTGCTTGCTAATTACAACACATTTAACTCATTCAAATATTAACAAAAAAAATGCAGGTTGCTACTCCGNTTCTCCATCTGCTTGCTAATTACAACACATTTAACTCATTCAAATATTAATAAAAAAAATGCAGGTTGCTACTTCATTCTAAATACTTTTAGATTGTGAGTTCTTAAATAGCTTTTGTTTGATACCCGTATTGTGATAGGTTTACCTACTTATAGTAATGCTTAATTGATTATGAATTGCTTTATACATGGCAACTTTGCGCAAAAATGCAGTTTTTATAAATATTAAAATTTTTTAAGAAAATGGTCAAACTCTTTGCAACCTATTTACATATAACAAGCTCAACCCAAAAATTACATTTTCAATAGCTGGCAACTCTATTCAAAAATTCTTCTTCTCTTTATTTATTTAAAAGTTTTAATTAAATTTTTTAATTAAATTTTTTTAGGCAGCTGGCAACTCCATTTTCAATACTTCCAGGCAATGAATTCGTAAATAGCTTTTTTCATGCCCTTATTGTGATAAGTCATACAAAATGTTGAAAGCATTATCATTTTTTATTGGGTGGCAACCTTGCTCAAAAATACTATTTTTATAGGTTTTTAACTTTTATAGGGCAAGCGGCAAACTTGTGTTATTCGAAAGTTAAAATTTGTTTTAATTTTTTTTTGCAACTCTTAATAGATAGTTTTTATTTATGACCAGGGAACGGATTTTATGGAAATTGCCTTTTTTTCTGCTAAAGAGATAGAGTATATTCGATTAAGAATGTCCACGATTTAGCTTTCTCTGATTCCATATATACACATTTGATGTTGCCTTTTTTTGCCTTTTTTAAGATATTTGCCTTTTTTTTGCCTTTTTTAAGATATTTGCTTTGTTTGCCTTTTCTATCTTTAAAAAGTGATTATAGCATTTACATTTTTTTTTTTTTTTATTAAAAATATACACATGCGGCTTATAGAAGCGCAGGGACCTA